CTCCCTGGAATAAATATAGTTAGTCTTTAAGGGGCCACTCAAACCCTTCTTTATTACAATACATTTGAGGCTAAGCCGTCTCTTCTTCCAGGGCTGCAGAGAGCCTTGGTGAAGCCCCAGTCCAGGATTCCCCCTGGGTCCTCTTCCCACCTCATTTGGCCCTCTCACACATTCAGAAGCCCATACACAAGATACCCAGTTAGATGCCAGAGATGATGCTACTGTCCCCCACGGGCATCTTGGCTGTCTGCCTGGACCACCAGGGCAGGCCAGACACCTGGGATTTTGTAATGCTAGCCCCCTACCTACCTCACCCCAGCTGCCTTCCCACTTAGAGCTGGGAAAACAAAGGAGAGAAAGACTTGACCTTGTTCTCCACAAATTGGTTAAGCTGCCCTGCTCATAGTTCAGTCATTTGAATCCCACCTGCACCTTCCACAACTGCTGCTCCAAGTGGAAGGGTCTCAACAAACAAAGCTTGAGACAGTGTGCTATGGGGTGACCTGCTTTGCTGGACCAAAGCTTTGGGTTCCAACACGAACATCATGAGCTGCAGTAATTTAACCCACTGTGCACTGTGGAGCCAGCCCATGGGTTGGCTGAGCACTAGTGTACAAGCGATATGAAACCAACGACCTATGGCATGGGACAGATTTCTTGAGTCTACTGTGCACCGGCAACTGGCAAGCAGTCAGGACTGACCCCTCCACCCCACACAAATTTGTGCTACTGTAGACACAGCCCCAAAGTGCTATGCCATGTGCTACTACAGTGTTACAAGGACATACTGGATTGCACTTAAGGGCCCCATTAGCAGCACAAAGGCACAACCAGTGTTCTTGGGTCAGCCTGACACCAAAATAAGAGCAGTGGGAACAGCAGGGCTTTCTCTTTGCCAGTAAGTTCCAAACCAAGTGCAGAGGAGAAACTGGTCAGAATTAACCTCCATATGCTGAGTCCTAAGGGCCATCTGAGCATCTGGGGGGCTGCGGGTGGCAGAGAGCCACTAGTCCCACAGTGTGCCAGGGTTTTTTGGCTCAAATGTCCAAGACCAGTGAGTGGCTGTCCTCAGCTGTCTGTCATACTGTAGTCATATGCAGAGGCTCAAACCATTTCTCTGACGGGTGGTTGTTGTACACGCCTGGGTCAGATGTAGATCCCACCCTCTCCTTGGCTTCATTAATAGTGACTCCTTATCTTACACATTGCACGCTAATCCTATGAAGCAGATTGCTGATTTCCATCAGACAGATGGAAAAGTGAAGCTGAGTTAGGGGAGTCCAGGACTGAATTAAGGCATGAATTCAGATTTGAATCAAGAAACAGCTTCAACTCAGCCCCTTAACATTTGATACACCCCGAATGTACGATCCAGGGAGTCTGGCATTTCACTAGACATAAAGATGGTTCTAATAACTGCCTACCACTTGCATCTCATTAAGAACAGATGAACCACCGTGTTAAGTGATGAATGGCATACTAATGCTGCACTGTTCCACTAATGCTGCATTAAATGCTTCAGACAATACACACAAGTGGTTGTAGAGCTCTCTTTCCTTTCCTTTTTCATTTCCAGCAGGCAGAGGTTCAGGGAAGGGGGGTTCAATGGCTAACTATTTAATCCAGTAACAGAGCTGACCTTCCTCAACGCTTGTGGGAGTTGGAACCCAAGGACCTGTCAGTATAGTGTGACAAAAATGGTACAGTAAAGCTGGGTCAGCTTTGCCACTAACAGAATAGCCATAAAGATTTGATCTAACAGATAGGAGGGAGCCCAGTCCTCCATGCAAACAGTTCAGCAGCTGCTGTAGATAACATGCTGTCATTTTCCGGACTCGCTTTAGATCACAGCGAAAAGGACACTATTTTATTGACTGCATCGTTTTTTGCACGGGGGACCCAGCATGGGCTTTAGGCTAGTAATGCTGGCATGTTGGCCAGGAGTTGCGTCCCTTGCAGACATCTCCTTTTCCTCATCACTTCCCCTCTCTCTCTTTTAGTTTTTATTTCTGCTGGCCCGTGAACCTTGTATCAACCTAGCAACTGGGCAATAAAACAAGCGGGACCCCCCATAAGAAAGAGTGCCCTCCAAGGGGCTGCTGATGCCAATCATGACACCCAGCCAAACATCATCTAACACCACTCCGCTCTCTTGCTCCGTAGCAGCATCCACTGCTGTGGGAGCCCTTGTAATGAGTCAGTAACACCAGTATCCGAAGCTGCCAATTCTGTTGCGCCACAGGGACAGCTCTCATCAGTTTTATTTTAGCAACCCGTAGGCTATTAGTCTTGACTGGTGGTGACTCATTCTCTCTCCCTTCTTGCTCTTTGCAGCGTTCCATTCCGATCTCCTGTTCCTCATATGTGAATTAGAGTCTCTGTATGTGTATGAGACTGGAATACAATTGGAGACGTGCACAATTCCTTGTGTGTATCCTGGAGGAGACTGGCAACAAGCAGCAGCAGCAGCAAGCAGACTTTCTTCTTCAAAGTGCTCCAGTCTCTAATCCCCTGTCAATCATCCAGGCCACACTAACCACACTGTTGATTGCCTAGCCACTGACGTGAACTTATGTGTCATCTGTCAATTTATGCCCTTCGGCACTGGTGGGAAGCAGCTTTGCAGACAGGATTGCCAGCTCCAGGCAGGCAAATTCCTGGAGATTTTGAGATGGAGGTTGGAAAGGGCAGTGTTTGGGGGACAGAAGGGACCTCAGCAGGGTATAATGCCAAAAAGTCCACCCTCCAAAGCAGCCATTTTCTCCAGGGGAATTGATCTCTGTTACCTGGAGATCAGTTGTAATGTGGGGAGATCCCTAGGTCCTACCTGGAGGTTGGCAGCCCTAAAAAGTACCATCCTGCTCTCTCACACACATGCATTATTATGTGTCAGAGGGCAGAGTGAGTGGCAGGTCAGACTACACGCAGGTCCACAAGGAAATGTTACTCACCTCTAGTGGAAGAGTGACTAATGGTACATTTTCATCACTGCCCTAAATCTATAGTTACTAGGATTCCTAGTGTGTGTGTGTTGGGGGGGGGGGAGAAGAGCCACGGGACGTTTTGTAGATGTTCCCTGAATGGTCATTTCTCACAGGGACCTCCATTTTGTCAGCAAAATGCACTGTAGCTCCTGAGAGCCAGGAAACATTGCAGCTGGTACTTACGAAGAACCCACAAGAAGGGAGTCTGAAGCCAACCCTTTCTCATACCCCACAGCCTTGTAGAACAGAGTTGTATCAGTTCTGTGCAGGAGTGGTTCCAGAGAGCGTCAGGCTGTAAGTGGCAAGTTCTACCCACTAATGTGCCTCATGACATTGCCATACACCAAGATGGAATCAGGCAGGGCTATTTTTGGGCAGGAACGCACAGGAACAGAGTTCCGGCTGGCTCCCAAGTTGGCCACACCCAGCAGGAACTCATTAGCATAATAGGCCACACCCAGCAGTAGAAACTCATTAGAATTGGCTACATTAGGGGTGTGTGGCCTAACATGCAAAGGAGTTCCTGCAACAAAAAAAGGCCCTGGATTTTGACAACAAACAAGGTAAACAGAATAAGAAGCAAAAGGTGGGTGTGGCTGGATAACCACACTTCTGGTAACATGTGGGTGCAGCCTAATGTGCTAATGAGCTGTGCTGTCAGGGGTGTGGCCCAATATGCTAATGAGTTCCTGCTGTTGGGTGTGGCCTATTATGCTAATGAGTTCCTGCTGGGCTTTTTCTACAAAAAAAGCCCTGGAATCAGGGAGTCAGACAGCCTATTGGCTAATGATTCTGGCTGAAGGCTGTTTGTCCTTCCCCTTCCCCCAGAGTGCATATATGGTGAAGGACCCTGATATAATGACGTCAGAGAGTCCAGAATCTCAGTAGTCCTTGAGGCTTTGATACTGATAGTCAAATTAGGCCAAGGATAACAGGTCCCAGAAAAATGATATTACGGATTTCATGCACCTATGGGCCCAACTTACGTTTAACAATGTCTACATTCACTCTGTGTTAGAGTCTACCACCTTTCATAGGGTTGCCAACTATGGTTTGGGAAATTCCTGGAGATTTAGGAGTAGAGCCTGGGGAGGGTGGGGTTTGGGAAGAGGAGGGAACTCAATAACCCTCCAAAGGAGCCATTTTCTCTGAGGGAACTAATCTTTGTCATCAGTTTGGTGTAGTGGAGCCAGTTTGGTGTAGTGGTTAGAAGCACGGACTCTAATCTGGGAGTACAGGGTTCAGTTCCCCATACCTCCACATGCAGCTGCTGGTGTGACCTTGGGTCATTCACAAGTTTTCTCAGAGCTGTGCTCTCACAAGCAGTTCTGGAAAGAGTTCTCTCAGCCCCACCTACCTCACCAGGTGTCTGCTGTGGGGAGGGGAAAGGAAAGGAGATTGTAAGCTGCTCTGAGACTCTGAGTGAAGGGCGGGGTATAAATCTCCTCCTCCTCCTCTTCTTCTTTTTCATCAGTTGTAATTCTGGGAGATCTTCAGGCCACACCAGGAGGTTGGCAGCCTATCAGTGAGAATTCTGCGAGGTGGTGAGGTTCAAAGCAGAAATGTAATTTCCTTTTAAGGCTTAGACCACAGAAATAAGCCTGACCTAGGCCTTGCTACAGCACCTGTTCTGGCCTGTTAAGTGCTCTTGTGAACTTTGCTGGCTTCCTTACCATTACTTCCCTGGGCCAGGGCTCAACAGCAGCATTCAAGCTCAACGTACGGTACGTACTCAATGGTCCAGGTTCAGGGTTTGCTTTGGGCCTAAATCCTCACACTGCACAAGAAGACTCAAAGCATCAGCTCTGGCTTTCTGGCTTAGCAGCAGTCATGCCGCCCTGGAAAATCCCTCTCTGTGTCAAAGTTCCATACAAGCAGCACAAGACATGAGTGGCAGAAACAGAATGGATTTATTGAATCTTACATGCCATATAGTTATTCAGAGTAAGAGCAGAGAGATCTCAGAGAACAAAGTGCTGAGAGATCAACTAAATGAGATGCTGGGAAATCAGTGAATGGATCTGCCAAAGGGTTTTTATTGGTAAGTAGCAGCTTTGGGGTCCCTACTTCTGTGTTCACAACACATCTCTCCAGGCCACTTTCCTGACCTCAAACTTTACTTCAGATCTACTGTTAACTCTCTTGGGGGAAACATACATACATCCTTTTTGTTTCCACCAACTGACAAATATAGATTTTAGGGGGACATTTAAGACCGGGGAAAAAATCAACATGGGGAAAAGGGGTTAACCCCCCCCCCTCCAGATCTTTTCCACTTCTTGTGGCTGTTATATACAAATAACAAACCATGCAGGAGATCCACTTATTAATCTTTCAGCATCTTGGTCTAGTTTGGTGTTCAGAGGTACAGGAGAAGAATCCAGCCACTACCGAAACCTTCCGTGTTTTTCTCATCAGCAAAGCCGAGAAGGTTCCAAGAGGAGAGGGGTCAGAGTTTGAAATCTGTGTGGTAAACAAAGACAGTTGGTCTGCTGAGAAATGTTCACAAGGTACTATAACCACCACCACCACCCCACCCCTGCACTGGAAAGGTCCAGGCAAACTTTTCAACATTGAATTTCCTCCAGAGAAGAGAAAACTAGAGCATTACGGTGTTTTGTAGTATGTATGTGCAAATGTACAATTGAAAAATATATTGTGGGGATACAAAATGAACACACAGCATGGCATTAATCTCACAGCAACACGAGCATGCTGAAATCCCCAAAGCTGCTTGTGCCAGCTAGAAGCTGCTTAGCAACTGCTTAAAGCCAGCTTTAAATTTCAGAACTCTTCCTTTCAGCTTTCTGCCCCTCTCCACTCTGTACCTGGTTCCCACTGAGGTAATAAAACTGAGTCTGAGAGCCAGTGTGGTGTAGTGGTTAAGTGCGCGGACTCTAATCTGGGAGAACCGGGTTTGATTCCCCACTCCTCCGCATGCAGCTGCTGGATGACCTTGGGCAAGCCATAGTTCTGACAAGAGCTGTCCTTGAAAGGGCAGTTCTCGAAAGAGCTCTCTCAGCCCCACCTACCTGGGGAGGCGGGCCAACTAGCTACAGTGGGGCATCTCGGGGCCTAGCCCTCTGAATTACTGCCAAGGCCCCCAACTTCCCATTCAGCCCAGGCACTCCCTTGGGGGTGTGTGCAGGGTATGTGTGTGTGTGGGGGTGCCCCCTGACTTATTTAAAGCCCCCCCCAAAAAAATTAAAAAATCCTGGCTATGGGCCTGTGGGGAGGGGAAGGGAAAAGAGTTTGTAAGCTGCTCTGAGACTCCGAGTGAAGGGCGGGGTATAAATCCAACCTCCTCCTCCTCCTCTTCTTCTTCTACATCACTCCTGACTGCAGGTGGGAGCTGCTGCTAAGAAATTCTCTTCACACAGAAAGCTAGCCATCAAGGAGAAGATTCTGGCCTAAACTTCTCCTTGGGATGTTAGTTTTCTACACAGGGAATATTTTTATACGGAAGCACATTCAACAACATGAGCCCCTACCAGCATTTTGAAAAAGGATAGCCCGGACATAAATTTTCTACCTCAGTGAGCCTGTGAGGCTTCAAGCCTACACTTTCATAGTTCTCTCAGTACACATTAGCTGACAGTCCTATGATCTGCTATATTTTGATGACCCCATATAGTAGGAATGTGCATTTATTTCCAGGCTATTAAAAATGAACTAGAAAAAGGCCATTTGGTATATTCACTCGCGTATCAAAAGAGAATGGAAATACCACCACATGTCATTAGTTTCCATGAGTTTTGCCTTTAACTGCCATGTTTTTCCTTTAATTACTTGGGATCTATACTCCTGTCTGAAATTTGACAGGAAAGATTCTTTAGCTGAGATATAGTAAATCCTAAGGATTTTATCCACATTGGATAGAAAACAATCTGAAGCTGGAAATGTGTTTTGCCTTTAATTGCCTATGAAATGGCAACTCTTCTTCCTGTCTGTCTGAAATAATGAAAGGAGGATCTTGTGGATGAGAGGAACCCTCACTGAACATTTCAGCCGAATTAGGGGGGGGGGGGTTGCAGCTGGAAATATGTCCCATTTAAACCAATAGAAATGAAAACAATAATAAAAAACAAATGAGAATAATAATGAATATAATGAAAACAAATGAAGCTTCTGAAATGAAAATATAAAAGTTGCATATTCCAATTATTAGAGAACTGACACTTGATTCTCAGAGTCACTCATATGCATTTAAATGAAGAAGAGAAGAAGGATTGGATTTATACCCCTCCCTTCACTACCTGAAGGAGTCTCAGGCTGATTTCGCACTAGAGCTGCCTCGATGTTGCGCCGCCGTTTGCCCTGATACTATTGGTCAGTTTCACACCCGAAGCTGCGGGGCTGCATTTGACCCCCGGCTTCGCCCGATTTCCTCCACAGTTTTGTGATCCTCAAAAAACAGGATCACGAAACTGCGGGGGAAATCGGGCGAAGCTGCGAGTCAAAATGCAGCCCCGCAGCTTCGGGTGTGAAATTGACCAATAGTATCGGGGCAAACGGCGGCGCAACATCGAGGCAGCTCTAGTGCGAAATCAGCCTCACAGTGGCTTACAGTCTCCTTTCCTTTCTCCTTCCCACAACAGACACCCTGTGAAGTAGGTGGGGCTGAAAGAGCTCTCTTGAGAACTGCCCTTGAGAGAACATTTCTGAAAGAATTTATGACTGACCCAAGGCTGCACCAGCAGCTGCATGTGGAGGAGTGGGGAATCAAACCCGGTTCTCCCAGATTAGAGTCTGTGCTCTTAACCACTACACCAAACTGGCTCTCTGATTCATATGACCAAATTAAATGGAATGCTAAGAATGTGACTTGGGTAGACCTGAGCAGTCTCTCTCTCTGTGTGTAATAGTACATTTTCGATGGCATGCTCAACTTGCTTTTTGCCACATATATTAATTACTCACAGTAACGATGTAGCAAATATGTGGGTAGAATTTCAGTCTGGGCAAATGGTGAGGTCATCACACATCTACTTAGGGAGACCCAGATTCAAACCCCCTCTTTGCCATGGTGACTTATTGGGGCCAGTCATATACTCTCATCCTAACCTACTTCACAGGGTTGTTGTGACAGTAAAATGGAGAAGCGCAATGTAAACCACTTTGAGTCACCATTGGGGTGTACAGGAAGTGAAACTGGTCATCATTTTAATCACCTGTGAAGGGTTTGAAGGTATGACATTTCATACCACAAGAACTGGATCATGAAACCATATCAGCTATTTCTGGACAGATTTAGGGCAGCCTATGAAGGAAACTCTTGCCTAACGGAGATGCAAAAATAACACAGTGGTAAAAAGGTGCTGGGGCAAATTCAACATTAAGAAAGAACTGCAGGCCCTGTGTAATCAGAGAGGTCGGCTTTACTGGTTTTGAGGTTCTGTGGGGAGGAAGCTGACTGGAATCAACCAATTTCAAATGCCGACTCTACGTACCTTAGAGGATCCTGCACCCCCTTTTCTTTGTCTTTGTGGGCTGTGGACAAAGAACTGCCCGTATTGCCTCGTCAAACACTGTTTTCAGGCCACGCTGTGTCAGTGCTGAGCACTCAAGGTATTTCACTGCATCTGCAAGTACAAAAACCCCATTACTTGGAGGAAGAACAAGAAGACTGTAGAGAATTCCTTTGTGGCCCTGCTACAACAGTTTCTCACCTGGTGTGGGTCAATCCTGAGAGTATAATACAGGCCTGCAGACATCTGGCAATCCAAAAATAAGCGAACTCCCTATAACATAGGCCCATTCTGCATCTAGCATTCACTCTGCTGTTTTATCAAACCCATGTTGGAACAGAAATTCCCCTCTGCACTGCATGCCACTTTCACTTTCTTTGATTGTTGGATTTTATGGTAGTGTCCACACTCCATGCCGGTTTCACTACCTTTGATCTCTCGGTTTTATGGTACTGTTTGCATAGATTTATGGCCATTTTATGGCCGTTCAGGGGTGACTCTGCAGTCAGTATGGTGTTGGGTATTTGAATGTTGTTTTGAGCTGCATCTTTTCCCGTTCCAGTGTGGGTAAAACAACGGAGTGAATGCTAGATGCAGAATGGGCCTTAGAAGCCCCTGGCTCACAGCCCCTCTTGCTCAACTCAGATGGCAGTCTCAAAGCCTGACAGCTGTGGTCACACACACAAAATCATGCACTTTCAATGCACTTTCCAACTGGATTTTGCCAGTTTACACAGTAAAATCCAGTTGTAAAGTGCACTGAAAGTGGATTGAAAGTGGATTATTTAGTGTGTGTGACCGCAGCCTTATAGGTCAGTTATTGTTAATATTTGCAATCAGATAATATCCCTATCCCTAAATATATGCTAGGTTTTTATGACTTTAAAATAGGAACAGAATATGTGAAGTTGTTTTTATGTAAATAAAGTACTCTTTCTAACAACTGGATTGTCCTCCCCCTTACTCACTTTTAGGTGCCAGGCCGAAACATTTCTTTTTACCTACGCTTTTGACTGAGGGGCAGCGTCCCACCTTTTAAAGCTGTTTTGAAGGCCTGTTCTTAGACTGTTTTAATAGTATCATTTTAAACTGCTGAATGTGGTTTTACAATGTTTATATGCCTGAGGCTTGTTTTTATGTTGAAGCTTTTATGACTTGTTCTTCTACAAGTACATTTTTGAAATAAGTAGCATACTAATTTTCCATTACACTACTGCAGCAGACATCTATTTATCCATTGGGTGAAATATGGCACAGATTAGATGTGCACAAAATCAGGAGGAGATGGTATAATGAATGGAACATTCTTAAATGTTTGTTCAGGCAAAGAAAAACAACACCTCATACAGAGTTGGGTGACTCTTAATTCAGGCACTGACTTTCCAGCTAGTGCAAAACATCCTAAGAATCGATTTAAACATTAAGCAAAGGTACACTGAGGATTTCTCACCAAATTATGCCATGTCATAATGCCCATGGGAGGGTTATAGATCTGGTCACACTAGGGGTGCCAACCCCCAGTTCAGAAATACCTGGAGATTTGAGGGAGGAGTGTGGGATTTAGGGAGGGGAGGGATCTTGGTAGGGCAGCCCCGTAGCTAGGGAATTCTTTGAGAGGGGGCCTCGGGGGGGGGCACCTGCTAAGTAAATGAAAGTACAGTGCAGGTGGTAAGTTGGAGCACTTTGGGGGCAGCCCAGGAGGGAGGGGGCCCAGAAGAAACACAAGGGGGCCAGGCCCCCGTAGGCCCCATGTTGGAATGCCATGCAGCCCATCTTCCAAAGCAGCCATTTTCTCCAGTAGAAGTGGAATAAATGTTTTAAATAAATAAGTAAATAAGTGATGTATGTAGTCTTGAGATCAGTTTTGATTGCAGGAGCTTTCCAGCACCCACCTGGAGGCTGGCAACCCCAGGTCACACCCATGTGTGCTAGCGCTGCCAGCCCCCAGATCTGGGTGGGAGCTCCCCTGCGTCTGGGGGTTTCAATCCACCCTGGTCAGCTGACCTGCGGGGAAGCCCTGCCCCCAAGCCCCACACCCAACCACCCCCGGAATGCCCCCCAAATCCCCCTGCTGGAGCAACGAGGGGACCTGGCAATCCTAATGTGTGCCTCCATCTCCATTTACAAAGCTAGGAAGTCAGAAAGGAGACAGCTTTGCACACACAGGGGAGATTTTGATGTGGTAGTACAGGGCAATTACAATCAAACATGCATTCTGTAAGGCAAATAGTCCCTTGAATAAAACTTTGTCAATCTTAAAGGTGCCACTGGACTCAAACTTTGTTCAGTCCCTTTTCTGAAAATTTGAACTAAGCTCCAGGAGAAGGCAAGTAACAGGCTATGGAGTTATATTATTCATAAATATATCTAGCTGGTCTCCTGTAGAAGAAAAATAGTTAGCAGATGCCTGTCTCAAGATATTACCAATCAGTCACAATATCTTCCCTAACAACTATTCCCCTTAAAAATGTTTCAGTCATGCATCACAATTTACATCTAAACAATGAGATTATACCAGAGGTCATTTCGGGGGGATCGCGGGGGATCGCAGTTCCCCCGGGTGAGGTACGGGGGGCGGGGCACATGACGAAGCCCCGCCCCCTGCTTCCGGCCGCCCCGCTTCCGGCCCTCATTCAGCCAGGAGGAGGCAGGAGAAGAGGGAGGGTAA